CATGGGCACAGACACAAAGCTATCAGACCCAATGTTCATAAAGCAGCATAAACAACGTTCTTCACATCTCGCATCTATGTTAATATTTTTGATTAATATTCGTTCGCTTCATTCCAAGATCCACATACTACGCTCATTTGTTTCTGTGACCGATCCTGACATAATATTTATAACTGAGTCGTGGTGCCATGATGACATATCTAACACCCAGCTAACCATTTTCGGATATGATATGTTTATGAGAAATCGGCAGTGTCGTCGAGGAGGAAGATGCGTACTTTACGCGAAACAATCGCTGGCGGCAACGACATTCGAGAATCCAATGCTGAATAATGTGCAAGAGTCACTTTGGCTTACGATAACGATCAGACACCAGCAACTGCTTGTTGGTTGTATATACAGCACGTCAAACTGTAGCCAAGAGGACTTAGTAGCTTTGACGTTTGCAGTTGAATGTGCCGCAAGCCTTCCGTTTAAACACAAGATTATCGGTGGTGATTTCAATCTGCCATCGATTGCATGGTCTGCAGGAACTACTCCTCTGAAATTTCATAATCTTATCTCTTGTATACATATGAATGGTTGGCAACAACATGTCTCCAAACCTACCAGAGGAAACAGCATCCTTGATCTCATTTTCTCGCTGGGCATACCTGCTATTAATGTATCGGTCCTTAATGAATTCCCTGGGAGCGACCATCGGGTGGTCAAATTCTGTTTAAGATTACGCATGGCCAATGAACCACACCCACTGCACTATCGTTTATTTAACTCCGTCAACTGAAACACGTTTAAGGATATGGTTCGTTCGATGAACTGGGATGATTTCTTCCTCTCTCCATGCCCTCAAAAAGCAGCAGACGTGTTCTATGATATCATCGGTCTGCATTGATTCATTAGTGCCTCTAAAGTGTGCCCGCCTAAGAAAACAAAAACCCGATCGCAAAGTGTTAGGTATCACACGCAAGCTTCATAAGATCCGGCGCAAATTCAGATTAACGGCAGACTTTGCGCTAATACTGCAGCAGGCAATGATCATCGAAGAACTCGGGCATCTAAATGTTCGCAATCTCATATTAGAAGAATACAAAGCTTTGCATGGCCCGAATAAAACAACGGAACTGTCCAAACTGTTTCGTGCCAGAGGTTTGCGTCACAGTAATTCCATCAATTTTATCATTATGCCGGATGGCACATACCTTGATGCTCCGGGTGAAATTTGTGAGGCTTTCAGCGCCTACTTCGCCGAATCAATGGTTGATGAACCGCTAGCCACACCAGCGCTTGTCACACCACACACTGCTGAAAGTTTGTGCACAGTGGAATTCACTATTGCAAAAATCTCCGGTCAAGTCTCCCGCTTGTCTTCCTCGACTTACCCAGGGCCTGATGGAATTCCCCCTTGTTCGTTAAAAAGCGGTGGGAGCGACTTGCCTCTTCTATTGCCAAACATTTTTACGCTCTCTTTTAACAGTGCAGTATATCCTAATCACTGGAAGACTTCCGTTGTTATCCCGAGGAATAAGAATGGGAACGTTCACGAAATTAAAAATTATCGCCCAATCAATCACACACTTGTAATATCTAGAATTATGGAAAGGATAGTGAAAGATGAATTACTTATTTTCTTGAATAAGAAAAACATCATCAACAATTCACAACACGGTTTTTCGCAGGGCAGATCTTGTGCGACATGCCAGACAGACTTCTTAAACCACACAACGGCTGCCATAGACAAAGGCAACTGTGTTATTGTCCTGGTCTTAGACATGCAAAAAGCATTCGACAGAGTGCCGCATCGAAGACTACTCCTCAAACTGAAGGAAATAGGTATTGGAGAACCAATGTTTTCTTGGTTGTCGTCATACCTAGCTGACAGACATCAGGTGGTGCGTATTGGGGACCGTGTCTCTAAACCGAAAGCAGTCACCAGTGGAGTAGTTCAGGGAAGTGTACTTGGTCCACTTCTTTTTCTCCTCTACGTCAACGATGTATTTCATAGAATAAGACATGGTGCTACTTTTCTGTTTGCTGATGACATTAAAATCGTCTACTCACAAGAACGTGCAGATATCCGCGCAGCCTTATGCCACATTCAGGAAGATCTATCGGCACTTGAATCCTGGAGCAAACTACGGCAGATGTCCTTTTCCGTGGACAAGTGTAATATATTCTGTCGTACAAATGCGAAGTTCCACCAGGCAGTCTATTATTACAAGGCACGTTCATATCACAGTGCAAAGCGATTCGCGACTTGGGTGTGCGGTATTCCACTACCTGCAACTTTTCGGAACATTGTGACTTCCAAGTTTCGAAAGCCATGAAGACTATTGGCTATATCTGTCATAAATTTCAACTCACAGAATCTCGTATCTGGCTTTACAAAACATATGTGTTACCTGGCATGGAATACTGCTCACTACTACAGTCGAATCTGCGGAAATCTGACCAGAATGCTCTTGAGAGGGTACAGCGACGCTTTACAAAGAAGCTGTGCGGATATTCCTCCAAGATGACCCACAGAGAGCGCAGTGAAAAACTTGGACTTGACCCATTTTTGCTACGGATAATGAAGGTGAACTTGTGTTTCCTGTACAGAATAATTCACCATCACATGCACAATTATGCTAACTGTGTCCATATGTCCGTTAACACTAGATACGAGCTACGAAATAAGGAGACAACGGTCATGATTCCAAAGTTCAATACGCGAATTAGGGAACGTTTCTTCTTAATACACTGCTCAAAGCTTTGGAACAAACTTCCAAGAGCTATCAGAACTTGTTGCACATTGCGTTTGTTTAAGCTTTCGATAAAAGATCATCTAACCGTTCAAAATGTGATAATAATGTTTCGAACAGCACAGTCCTTAGATAACGCTTTTGAGGACGGAGTTAATGGTGCCTGAAAATGCATGTGGTCAAGTGCACAAGTGGTTATATTTTGTTGGCCCGCAGCACTTTACTCTCCCTTTTTCTTCGTGTGCGATCAACTCTCATGTGACTGCTACAAACTTGTCAGACGATAGAACAAGAGGAATGTAAATATTTTGGACCGCGTCGCACTACACAAATTTTCATTTTGTGCTCACATTTTTTAAATTTATTATACCATGATATGAAACTGCTGTACCATTATTTGATCCGTCCCTTCTGGGAACGGCTTCTCGCATCGTCGATCCATACACAATTTATTTATTTATTTATTTATTTAGGAGTTGATGTGGCTTACCTTGATTTCGCTAAGGCATTTGACCGCTTGGACCACTGTATCCTTATCGCCAAACTTCAAGCATATGGCATTGGGGACCCTGTCCTCGAGTGGATTTGCAATTTTCTCTCCCACAGGCGTCTGCAGGTGATAGTACGTGAATCCATGTCGGACCCAATTCAGGTCGAATTCACAGTGCCATAGGATTCAGTATTGGGGCCCCGTCCATCCTTGGTCTTCAGTAACGATCTAGTGAGTCAAACTGCTTCCAACTGTTAAATCTACCACGATGACAGCAAAGGTTGGTGAGTGATCAGAGCTCCGGAAGACCGTATCCAGCAACAAATCGATCTTGCCAAGATTTATGGATGGTCAGTCCAAAATCGCCTTCTATTCAATGTCGCGAAATGTCGAGTGCTTCATTTAAGACACCGAATGGCTCGTATATATAAGCTGGGGAACCAGGATCTGCAACGATGTCCTTTTAAAAAGCATCCCGGTGTCGTGGTCCAGGAAGATCTTGGCTGCTCGGAGCAGCCCAAAAGGGCATTGAAGAAGGGGAACCTAATCGTGAGGCTTTTACGGAGAGCATTCGGGCAGTTCGAATCGTCGCTTTTCAGCCAAATACTTCCCGCTTATATACGCCTACATGCTGAATATGCAATTCAAGCATGGCACCCATGGTTCAAGCGGGATCTCACTGCCTTTGAGCTTCCACAACGTCGGGCGACCAAAAATCTTAAGAGGCTGCTCCACTTGTCATACGAAAAGCGCATCAGGGGGCTTGGATAAACACCATGGGCTTAGCCAATTTGGTGAAATTCTGCACCAGATTCGAGGGGCATCCAGATTTAGCACTCACTTACAAATGCGAACCGTTTGGTACTCAAAAGCGTGCACCCCTTGGTAATTTCGATTACTGCATAGTAAAGCAATGCCCCAAGTTACGCAAAAAAGTATACCATGTTGCACTGGCAAAAATACCATTCAGAACTGTTTAACGAAAGATCTCGTCAGCAGATAACAGCGCGACCCAAATTAACACTTTATTCAACTGATTATTAAAATTGCACAAACGTTTGCTTGTCAGAGCAATGCAGCCACCTTATAGACTGCATATAATTATGTATTGATCTGTGTTGCCAATCTGCGAAATGACAGATTTTCCTCTCCATTGCTCAAGCGGCTGCGGAGAAAAATGTTTGGGGCTTGCAATCACAAGCTAATTGCTCATGATAAGCGTCTATCCTTGGCTATGAAAGCTAGAAGAAAAAGGCAAACAATCTGTAGATTCAGACCGTTGGGGAGACCTATGGAGGCTTCTAAAACAACTCTATGGAGGGCATTCCTCCAGAACATTTAACACCGAGGATAGATAAGCTCAACGCAGAATACAGCTACTCTTCATTTAACACGCGCCCTGCCTTCTTGCAACGCCACTGAGCCTCCCACTTTAGTTGATTTCACAAGTATTTACAAGGAGCTCACAAAACTGAAGCCAAACAAGGCTAGTGAACCGGATGTTCTATCAGCAGTCGTTCTGAAAGAATACGCGGATGCTTTAACGACACTTCTGAAAGAGATCCGGCATCCACGCTTAACGACTGGTACAATCCCGACATTTGCAAACCACTTTCTTAATGCAGTAAGAAGACGTAGGTTACTAAATGTTAACATTTCGATTGTTCTCCTCAGTCGCTACGCAATACAGGCAGATCAAAGTACGCCTTATATACGGTCCATACTTAGTACCATGGATAAACAGATAATATTGATGTGCATGACGTAACCAGGTCCAAGGCAATTTAAGTAATGTCTCAGTTGTTTGTGGGCAAGCAAGGATCTGCAGATATTGAAGGACGTAATTTTTCTGCAGCTGGGTAAAGGCACGGGTGTGGCAATAGTGGACAAAGCTGATTACATCGGAAAGTGGAGTCCATTCTCGGAGATGGAGGCAAGTCTCCTATTGACAAGACGCTGGACAACAACATCTTGGTGGAGAAACAAATCGCAAGGCATCTACAAATTCTTTTACTTCATGGTTATATCTCCGTATAGTCCGTGTTAGCACAGTCTGTGTGACTTGTATTCATATGGTCTACAACAGCACCATAAAATGGCCAACATTATTGATTGAAATTGCAATCTAATGGGTGGAATAAGTGCATGTGGCACGATTACAAAAGAAGGGAATGGCGGAAAATGGATATTTCGAGACGCTGGAAGTGGCGGGGTGCCGACAGTTTCATGCTGTTCTCCTCGGATGAAATACGAAGAGTCCTTCAGATGAACCTCTGGTGAGCCCATCGGTGTCCTGCGGAAGGTATCCCCTCCTTCCACTTTCGTGTTTTCTCTCTTCAGTGAGTAGGAAATTGACATTTATTGTGCTCACAACATGCTCGTAAAGAGCGCCAGCTAGCCGACTTCATGAGCACGACCGATCACCTAATTGGGGAATAGAAAAGAGTGGTAAATCAATATACATCACACATCAGTGGATTACCAAATCTCATTTTCGACGCACTAGTTAGTCATTTCATACCTAAGATCGTATACGAAACATAGCATAGCGAGAATAATAACAAAACGCACGAACACTTCACGTCGACACGCTTGAATGGTTTCTGCCACGCGCAGCGCTCACTTGTCTCTCGCGGTACCTGGCATTCGAATTACCGAGATGGTTGCCGGTACCGTCGTGAGAGATAGTTCGTCGCGTTTGCACTCTGTGATCACGGATGCATTTGCTGACGTATCAACAGGTCGCCGAAGCTCGGATGTGCATTGACGCATAAGGTATGGGCAGCGCGCATGCTGCTACAGACTGCCTGCGAAGATTGATTGAGTCTGATTATCTGATCAAAGGAATCTTTGCCAAAACCCATCGTTTAAGGAAGGTGGGCGATTATTGAGTAATGCCATAGTCTAGTGGTCTGTGATCTTGATCACGGGTTAGATGTCTTCAAATTGATTAGTTTATTTACATCCTCCACCCACATTCGATGCGTCACTTGGTTCATTGTCACCTGATTTTGGCTTAGCTCAGTGACTGTTGCTGATCGAGGAGCATGTGGCTGTTTTAGCGAGCACGCACGGTTGCCACGTAAAGAGAACAGCAAGTGAGTTGCCAAATAACTGCAGTGGCATAATGTCATTCTGCAGGATCTGCTTGTAATGTCTGCCACTGTTTTCAGTGAGATATAAGCAGTGAGGTCAAAACCAGCAGCGCGCTTTCTACCTATCGTTCTTCAATCTGGCGATAGCTATTGTTCATCCGTGTTCCATTTCGCATCATCATCGTTGAGATCATAACAGAATGATAGGTCGTACGTATATCGTCAGTATTTGACCCTGGCATCAATCGACATTTGGTGGACTAATTGGCTAGTGACTGCTGTAGTTCCATACTGAGGAATACAAAGACACTCATCAGAGTCTGATTAGACTGTCGTACGGCCGCACTATACCTCGGCTCGCGCTTTACTCCTTGTGATCACTCCAGTCCTCCACACACAATATTGTGCGTGCGCTCTTTCGAATCAGTTCGAGGAGCGCTACTCACTGTTTTCCATCTCTTGGATCTAACATGTGTGGATCATACTGTTACTCCCGTTCTCTGTTTCCGCACATTCTGCGTCAAATTCTGCTTGTGAAGTCACATCACACCCAACCTTTTCGAGAATTTTGGTCTCACAAGGTAGAAGAACCTGAGGACCCTCAAATGACCCTATAACTATCCTTACAGGCGGCAGCATAACATAGTTAAGAGAGATTTTGCATCGTTCACCCACTAAACAGCGCGTCCGAGACACTTGGGGTAGGTTGTCACCGCCCGCGTGCATTGTCGTGTAACACGTCCTCGTGTGATTGAGTGCGCATTGCTGAATCCCACTATCTGCGAGCGACCGTAAGAGAGAGGGAGGCATTGAGACAGCCACCCGTCTCGGCAGCCTGACCTTGACGCCGGATCAATCGATCCAGGGTCCTGGGTAGGGCTAAACTTCACGTGATCACGTGCCTTCATGAGCGTCATTAACCGAGCCACGGTGCCGAAAGGCGCATGTGGAATGTGCAATAGGATGGTTAAAATAAAGGTTTTCTGTGGAAACTGCTCGGTTTGGCGTGCCACGATGTATTCGAGACGAAAATTTTATTTGTTTATTTATTTATTATCATGCGAAATGAGGGAACCATCGCAATGTGGCTGGGCCTTATCCACCGCAGTGAGGCTGGACCTTACCGTGATGCGATGGTTTGTGTACCTCACTGGTCCAGTGAACTATGCTGGGTGGTGATTGTTTGCACCTTCAGAGCCACTAGTACCAGATTGGTCAATGATTAAAGGCCAGACAAACTCAGCCTGCTGGTCCTCCAGGTTGGGGTTAGAATGAGGAGGCACCTTATTCCTTAACCGGACTCCTTGTAGCCCGCCGCCAAACCCGCTGCCTTGCGGTCAGGTTTTTGAACGGAAAGTTTTGGTTGAGAACCCTAATCGTTCTCCTGTCTAGGCCTCGGCAACCTGACAGTATCCTGCCTAGGCAGTCCTATCAATCTTTCCTCAAACTATTTCCTGTTGCTCTGGCCAACGCAGGCGATAATCAACGGTGCACAATCTGCTGCATCGTGCAGGGTGGTTAGGGTTTGGATCGTACTGTTCAAACCTCGTATTTTCATTCCCCTACCTACTCTTTTTAACCCTTATCGTCCAATTCCAGCTTCAATTTAATCCCCCTGCTTTCAACCACCCAATCCTTGGCCCTCCCCAACCTTCCTTCAATAGTCGCTTGTCTTCTATTTTCAAAGCACATGTGAACGCGGAGCCTCATTCCAGCCCTGCCAACATGGCCATATATAAGCAAATTGCCCAGCCCGTTCATCGGCTTCCATTTGGACCCCTCGATCCCCCTTCAGATTAGCATGCCACAATGTACGCACATTGCTACAGCTCGGTCAACAGGCAACACTTGCCCGAACATTGGAGAACATCTCGATCGATATCTACTGCTTATCGGAGACCCGCCTGTAAGAATCCAGCTCTGTGCTCACTCTGCAATCCCCTTCAGGTAACACTATCAGCACTTTCTCATTGTGCCCATCCGGTGACGAACCATCTTCGAGTACCGGCCAAGCCGGTGTTGGTATTGCCCTGAGTCCCCGGGCTGAAGCTACTCTGGTTGTTTGAATCCCAATCAGTGGCCGGATTTGTGCGGTCCGATTGGCTGGCTCGTTCAAAACTTCGAAGCCGCATGGGACTACCAGGTGTCTATTCGTTATCGCTGCCTATGCACCCACAAACTGTATCGATGACTAGGTAAAAGACGACTTCTATCGCCAATCGAACGAGCTCCTTAGCTACAGAAGAAGCACGGACACTGTAGTGCTAGCTGGGTTATCTGAACGCTCAAGTTGCAAAATTATCCACTGATGAAGTGCATCTGGGCCGCCAACATGGTGTAGGCTTCCATAATGATAATGGTGAGCAGTTACCTCCTTTGGGTTAAGATGCTTGCTTATTTCTTTCCAGCAATAATTTCCGACACAGTACCCGGCGGAGGGTGACTTGGCGCCCACCAGCTTCGAATCAGCTATGGATGCAAATCGATCACATTGCGATAAATCACCGATGGAGATGCTGCGTCTCGATCGGTCGTTTGAGTTGGAACACATGTGTAGACATCGACCATACACTTGTATTTGCTGACCTGCGGATGCGTCTTGGCGGACGCCCACAACGACGATGTGAGCGGATTGACACAAGCCAACTGCCGAAGCCAGCTGTTCTGGATGCCTATCAAAGTACGCTCTCATGCGAGTTGCATAAACGCTCATTGGATGCAATTGAAGCACACTAATCTCATATTCACCAGACCTTACTAGCAGCAGGCAAATCCTCATGTGGTAAGTCGAATCGTCAACATAGATAGATATTGGGTCTCTTCGCAGGCTATGAAAATTATCAATAGTCGCCGGCACATTCCGACTGGAAGCGAACACATTGAAACGCGCAAAGAGCTCCGGGTAAAACTCCGCCTTAGTCTGAAGAGAGACCGCGAATCCTGGTGGTCTCAACGTGCATCAAAGTGGGAAATGGCCGCTGTCCTTGGTAACCATCGTAATTTATTCAGTCTGATACGGGAAACGGGCAGTAGGAGACCTGGGGTTAGTGAAAATACACGTGACCAGACTGGACAGCCTAACCACAACTTGTCAAAACGCTTGGAACGTTGAGCTGAGCACATTGAGAGGCAAATTAATCACTCGGAATAGTCAGATTTTGCGCTGGCCACTGATCGCCCCGCTGCCTGGACTGTCCCCCTGGATCCATGCTCTCGCTCAGAAGTCGAACGTGAGATCGCACTGTTGAAGTTACGTAAGGCCGCGGGACCAGATGATCTTCCTCATGCCCCCTTCAAATCCGGGGGACCTGCTCTGGTGAATGATTTACACAACTTGCTGGTGAAATTGTGGGAGCAGAAAACTGTTCCAACCTACTGGATCCGCTCCATCATAGTCTCAATTTCCAAGGGTGGCTCACGATCGGCATGCGGCCGCCGTAGAGGAATCAGTCCGAACTTCATCGCCTCCAAATTGCTTGCCCCTGTCATCCTTCGCAGACTGACTGGCACTTGTGAAAGCCATATTCGTGAAGAGCAAGCCTTGTTTCGTCGAGGTCGTGGCTGCGTTGACTACATATTCACTTTGCGTCAGTAGATGGACACCGGCACATTTATTTGCGGTCCACCGATGTCGTGTTCCTCGATATCAAAGGTGCATACGATTCGGTGGATAGACGTGCACTTTGGGACTGATTACTCAGGAAAGGGTACCTGAGAAATATGTAAATATTATCCGATCATTATACGCACGTAGCTAAAGTAGTGGGATGGCTTACAGCAAGTTGTCGTCGCCCTTTACTATCTCCAACGGTGTGAGACAAGTATGCCCGCTGTCACCTTTCCTCTTCAACTTCACTTTAATAAAATCATGGAAATCGCGTTTACAGGAAACGACTAAGAATATGTGGATCTGCTACCAGGAGAAGGACTTCTTGACTTGGAATATGCTGATGATATTGCCCTAAACTGTGACAGCTATCAGACGTGCCAAGCAGGACTGGACAGGTTAGCACTGGCTGCAGCCGCTTCGGGATTTGCTTCGCATTCTTGAAGTGCAAAGCGTTCCTCCAAATTTGGTCCGGACCGTCTCCTACGCTGACCGTTGGTGGGGATCAGCTAGAAGTCCTTCCGAAATTCAACTGACTGGGAGTTGTATCAGCGCCCGTGGGAGCCGACCACAGTGGCGTTCGTGCTGTGAGTTGCTTTGTCCCATTCCATACATCTTAGCCTCCCCCTCCAACAACGATCTCCCTATTTGGCCTTATATAATATTGCATAGTAACTTATTTTTTCTGCTGCATGGTAGCCGGCAGGTAGCTTACCAGAACGATGCCCATCCGTTACCGGTAGCTCAGCTGGGTTGCACCTAGTG